GGATTTTACATCTATGGATGCACACAACTGGTCTTGCTTCGGATACTGAATTTGACCTACGCTATCCAGATGAGTGACCAGGTTAAAGTTTTGGGAGCAGACTATAAGCCCTACGCTAACCAATTTTGCACTGAAGATACATTTATTGAACTACCAGGGTTGCTTCAGATGCTGGATTTGACCTACATTTTTTCAGAAAAGTTTTTGGAGCAGGTCTATTCCCAAACAACTATAAGACCTACCTAGACCAAACTTGCATGGATAATGTATCTAGGGATGAACACTACTAGATTATTAGTTTAGTGTGGGACTTTGCTATACTTAAAGACAAAATTCGTTGAGGTGAGCTCTGAAATCTCTGATTACCTTTGTTTATATTTTACTTAAGTAAAGTATATTTTATCATAATATTTTTGTCAGGGATAGCTTGAGTGAATATTTTACTGTAGGGAGTTTAAATACATCATGTAATTCTGATGAAAGCATAACTAGAATTAATGTTGAGCTAATGAGTTACAAAGAAAAGATCCTTATTTTTTTTATTTTTACACCCCCTTTATCGAATATTCGGGGGCATATAGTTTTTGCCTTGTCCGTCTGTCTGTCTGTTCTTCAGCAAAAACTTGAACCTTTCCATAACTTTTAATTGGTTGGAGCTATGGCTTTCATATTTCATATACATATATATTCCTTGTGACAAGACCTTTCTTTGGGTCCCAACATATTTGACCTCTTGACCTTAACCTTGGAGTTTGACCCACTATTGCAAACTTTTACCAAACTTTAAACTTGGTCATAACTTCTGAACAGTTGGTGCTAGAGCTTTCATACTTTACATGTGTATTCCTTGTGACAAGATCTTTCCTAGAGTATGAATGTTTGAAGGTTTGTCCTTGGCCTTGGAATTTGACACACTTTAAAAAAAAATAACCTTGGCTATAACTTTTGAACAGTAAGTACTAGGGCTTTCATACGTTACAGATGTATTTCTTGTGACACATACCTTTCTTTGAATACCAATAGTTTTGACTTTTTCTTACTTGACCTTTGAGTTTGAATTATTTTTGAAAAAAAAAAACTTTGATCTTGTCCATTACCGGAACTTTTGAATGATTGATTCTAGGACTTTTTTATCGTTTTGCTAGATTAATTTAAACAATATTTTATTATGCATAATTATAATAGGATTGGACAGCAGGCACTATCTATATAAGTCCTCTCCATTATACAAGGTCACAGTCATATGTACAAGTAAATATTAGTTACATATCATTGAAAAAATAAATATATACATGTGTATATTCAAAAGAAATTTATAAAAATAAGACAAAATAAATAGTAGAAAATTAATTACAAGTGAGCTGATGATACAATATATCTTTGCAGTTTAACATATATGACTAACATAAATAATACAGGTATAAATGTTAAAGGTATTTATATACTAGCACTATTTTGCAATTGACAATGCAATATATTCATTTTACGACTTCCATAGTTGTAATATTTCTTAGGTTTAAAGCAGTATATAAATACATTTTATGGCAGTCTTGAATGATGAAAGTGTAGGAAGATTTCGAATATTAAAGGGTAAATCATTCCACAGTCTTATAGCTGAAGGAAGGAAACTTTTCATGTGCTAGATCTTTCATATTTTACAGGTATATTTCTTGAGACAAGACATTTCGTTGGTTACAAACATTTTTTATCTCTTGACCTTGGAGTTTGACTTGGATTTGAGGAACTTTGCCATAGGCTGCCATCCGGATCCGGTGCATCAGTGTTCACAAACACATCTTGTTTTTATTTTTACGCCCCCGTAAGAATAGAAGATTCGGGGGCATATATTTTTGCTCTGTCCGTCCGTCTGTCTATCTGTTTGCCTGTTAGTCCACAAAAAATAATCTTGTTCATAACTTTTGACCAGTAGGAGCTATAGCTTTCATATTTCACATATTTTGACAAGACCTTTCTTTGGGCATCATCATATTTGACTTTTTGACATTGGAGTTTGACCCACTTTTGCAAATTTTACCGAACTTTAATCTTGGCCATAACCTTTGAACAGTTCGTGCTATGGCTTTCATTTGTCACATGTGTATTTCTTGTGACAAGACCTTTCTTTGGGTACAAACATTTTTTACCTTGACCTTGGAGTTTGACCTTCTTTTGAAAAACTTTAACCTTGGCCATAACTTTTGAACGTTGGGTGCTATGGCTTCAATATTTCACAGGTTATTCCTTGTGACAAGGCCTTTTCCTAAGTACCAAGATTTTTTCACCTTATTACATTAACCTTGGGGATTTACTTACTTTTGAAAAAACTCACCATAATTTCTGAATGGTTGATGCAAAGACTTTCGTATTTCACAGGTATATTCCTTGTGACAAGACCCTTTCATTGATTCAACATTCTTGATCTCTTGATTTTGACTTTGGAGTTTGACTTGCATTTAAGAAACTCTAGCCTTCGCCCTTAGCTGCCATACGGGTGAATCAGTGTTTCACAAACGCATCTTTTTTGTTTTGTCTTTTATGCCCCGTATCGAAAATTCGGGGGTATATAGTTTTTGCCCTGTCCTTCTGTCTGTCAGTCTGTCCTCAAAAACTTTAACATTGCTCATAACTTTGGATTGGTTGAAGCTATGGTTTTCATATTTCATATGTGTATTTCTTATGACAAGACCTCTCTTTTGGTACCATTATATTTGAAGTTTTGACCATTAACTTGGAGTTTTACCCAGTTTTGCAAAATTTTACCCAACTTTAACCTTAGTATTACTTTTGAACAATTGGTGCTAGGGCTTTTATTCTTCACACGTGTAATCCTTGTGACAAAACCTTCCTTTGGATTTCAACAACTTCGACCCTTTGACCTTGACTTAGGAGTTTGACCTATTTTTTAAAAAAACTTTAACCTTGGTCACAACTTTTGAACGGTTGGTGCTAGGGCTTTCATACTTCAGGTATGTAATCCTTGTGACAAGACCTTCCTTTTGATTTCAACAACTTTGACCCTTTATCCTTGGAATTTGACCTACTTTCAAAAGACTTTAACCTTGGCCATAACTTTTGAACGGTGGTGCTAGGGCTTTCATATTTCACATGTTTATTTCTTGTGAGAAGGCCTTTCCTTGGGCACTATTGATATTGACCATTTGAACTTGACCTTGATGTTTGACTTACTTTTGAAAAGATTTCACCTTTTCCATATATATTCAATGGTTACTGCTACGGCTTTCATATTTCACAGTTATTTTCCTTGAGACCAGACCTTGCTTTTGGTTTTGATTTACATTTGAGAGTTTAACCTTTGCTATATGAGTTTCCATAAGGGGACATCAGTGTTTCACAAACACATCTTGTTTTTTTTTATTTTGGGTGTTTACCCAAAATACACCATAAGTTGTTCTGATGAAAAGCCTAACTGGGTTTGCTTTTGAGCCAATCTAATTAAAATTTATAGATGTTCCGAATCCGCTACCGCTTCTCAAACGGTAGCGGATTCGGAACATCTAATTTTAATTAGATTGCTTTTGAGCCAATGAGTAACCAGAAAAAGAACCTTTTTTTCTTCCAAATTGTACGAACTTGGCATCTTTAGAAAAGACTGCCTCTTGAAAGTATTATTCATTATAGAATAAGTGAAGAGGCACTTGTAGATCCACTGTTTGAGCTGAAGGAGTCTTTCCTTTGATCTACTCACACAATTCTTCGGTCTTTTCTAAATATGTACATGTGTATGTCGGTATAGGACATCTGAGACGTCAGTCATCTTTTAACATATGATCAAAGAGTGGGTGGTCTTTGTCACTCGTGCGCTCCGCGTTCATGACAGAAGGACTGCTATCTTCTTTGATAATATGAATATTAATTGTATGTTAAAAGATAGTTATTACTAATAAACAGGCTTTGTGCGACAGAAAAACATAACCATTAGAAAGTTTCGGTGTAAAATGAGGACATTCGAGATCTTTGGATAATAGATTTTCTTTGAATCTTTACCAACATCTGAAAGAAAACTAGTCCGAAATATCTTACGTTTTCCAGGCGTTTTTCACGATTTTGATATTTGATGTGCCAGGAAAACGTCAGAACCGGCGCCATTATAGAAAGTTGAAATTCGCGGTCGATTTTCGATACATGCGAACCGAATTAAATATGTAACTCACATCTTATCGACAGTGCAATGCTGCTAGAACTAACCTATACCTTTGTAATGGAAACTGTCAGGTGAAAACATTTTATCTAACTGTCGAGGTTTGTTTCGATTTCGTGCATTTTGAAATCTCGTTAGACCTGTATCGAAATATATTATTCTATGATATATAATATTTTCTTTAAGCGATATTAGAAGAATTAGAAGCATTGTGCTATTGATAAGTTGTGCGTTTGTCACTTAGTATCGAAAAAAGAATTCAGTTGGGGTCAGCGAAATTTCCATTTTTCATAATGGCGCCGGTTCTGACGTTTTCCTCAAATATCATAAACGTGAAAAACGCTTGGAAAACGTCAGATATTTCAGACTAGGAGAAAGCATGTATACGGTATTCACATTACACGTTTTCTTGCAAATTCTGTAATGAATGTGGATATTTTTTAATCTTATATCTGGACCTCTCTGGTTTAGAAAATTCGGATAGACAAACCAGAAAGGGGACGCATATATATTTATATAAGAAATAAAACCCGAAGCGTGCGACGAAATAGCAGCACCGTAAATCGAAGATTTTCGCAACGCTTGGATCTGTAGCTCTTTGGTCTGTCTGTCCGAGTTCCTTCACCAAAGAGATACTGCATTCTGCAGTTAACAAAATTGCAGACCATTTTAATTTATCAATATCGTGAAATTCGGATGTGGCTATATTTTCTTTATTAATCAAAAGACAACCTCCTGAAAATTCAAGTCAAAAATGCACATGTATCAAGTTTTATTTTTTACATAAATATACATGTATAACACATAACTGAACCATACTCACTACAAATGTGATGGAAAGTTTTATGAAATTTTTGAAGTTACGTAGTTATAAACATGCAAAAAAGCGTAGTTTTATTGTGTTTTGGTGCTCTAATGGTTTGTGTATAATGAATTATATAGCATAAGGCTGACTTTGTCAGAAACCCTTAGTCAATCTTTCATAAGCTTATTGAGCGAATGCAAGATTGACTTTAGAGATATTTCTAATGTGCTGTTAAACTCTCGTTTGTACGAGTAGCTTGGGGGAAATATATGCATAAATTTGTAATCTACCCTGAAAAATGAGTTAGAAATGTGAACAAATCCATATATGAAAATTTATAATGTACACTAAATATGTATAATAAATATAACAATATTATTGCATTTGAACAAGATATGCGGCACGATCCACTTGAACCGGACTATTTTTTTCACTGAACATGTAATGCAACTCCACCTGAGCCACAGTAATTTTCCACTGAACAAGATATATGACTCCACTCTAAGCTAGACTATTTCTCCACTCTGACGATCATCATTTTGTCAGTAAACCCATTGGGTTTCTCAGTAGTGGTGACTATAACAAAACCGAATTCTTCTTTCATCCCAAATTGTAAGATCTCTTTGTAAATGTCATCGTCTTCTGGCCGCATTAATTTCTCGATTCTGAAATGAAAATATACATACATGGCATCTTTTTTTGATAGCACAATGTTCATAGAACTACAGTGAATAACTTTTACATTTGATTTATTTATTTATTTTTTTTTTTTGCCTTTGTAGTTATAAAACATACTCAAAATGTGTTCAAACAATTTTGTGTTCAAGCAATTTTTAACTAGCTAAACCTTACCGATGCAAAGTACATGCAAGCTTTGTTCTTAATGAAAACAAAGCAAGACTACTTTTTTACGAAAATGGTACAAAGTGTATATCATACACTCTTTCAATAACAAAACATATGTACAGGTTTACTCACTTCTCATCTTCCATGATGCTTTTGTCCAGAATGCTTTCCAAAAGCCCAGGCTGCACCTGCTCCATGACGTTAAAGAGAGGTTCATAAAGATCGGTTCCCATCATGTCAATGACAAGTTTTTTACCATGTCTAAAACGAATGCAGAAAAGAAAATCCAGTAAGAATCTACCTGGTTTGACCTGTAAACAAATTCTGCCTGGTTTAACCGGTGATCAAATTCTGTCTGGTTTAAACCAGTGAACTGAACATATTCTGCCTGGTTTAACAAGTGAACAATTTCTGCCTGGTTTAACCAGTGAAAAAATTCTGTCTGGTTTATATAGCCAGTGAACAAAATCTATTTGAATTAAAAAAAACAACAACATTTAAACAAATTCTTAAGAATGTTCAAGTTTATTGGTAGAAAATACATGTACCTTTTTAATACTTGATACCCCCCTCTCAGATTCTGCACTCACCTAAGAGCAGCTAGTACCGCTATTCGGACTCTATCGGGAGAATTCATAAATCCATGGTCTAGGCCATTAATGTATGTGCATTCCCTATACTGTAAAAATCTTCCAGCAATTTCACTAGGATCAATCACCATTGGAAACCTAGAAAAAGAGATTCCCATGCAGCGGATTTCTCAGTTGTGTATTTGGTGAGAGAGAAGAATGTCGATGTTTATGCAAGTAATAAAAGCATTAATGCACTGATCCTCAAACTTTTTAGCTTTCAGCGTTGAGATTAGATGTTCTTCAATAACTCTATTATCTATTGCTTATTTTTCATTTCCTAAAAACTGTTCTATCGTGTTTAGGAAATCAAATTATCCGTACAAAATAACAATCCGAACAAAATAACAAAAATATCTAGATATTGACTATTATTATTCTCCTCTTTAGAGTGATGGAAACTCCCCAAAAGCATAATTAAGTTGTTACCATTTGGAATTTTTGACGACTTTATCTGCGTCATTAAGTACGAATTCTGCTATCTCTTTCACTGTGATCTTCAGCTCTGGAGTCTTTGTAGCAGGAACGACTTCAGCTATAGACAGATGAAGTATTACGTAAAGTGAAAATGTATCGAATATGTTGGAAATCATTATTATATATTTACATCCACTGAATATTATCTCCTTTATTCTAAAGAAAACCATTGCCGTTTATCAGTCAGTAAACACCGCCTGGCATATCACCAGAGCTACAGATTCCTTGAGCAGTGGCTCTTCCATCCATAAAACGTGTATATAATGACGTTCATATCAATAATACAATATTTAATCTTTTTAATCCTGCTTTAAATGATTATTTTTACAGATATTAATATATAAACAATAAAATGTCTTACTTTGGTTGTAAGTATGGGAATTAACGTTGCTTACGTGGGCTATGTATTTTTTTCTGCAACAACTGCAACATTAATTCCCGAACTAGCAACCAAAGAAAGCATTTATTAAGTATATGGTTCTAAATAAATGAAACTCACATAGACTATAGGTTTTATATATGACCATTTTGGTTTAAACAATATTTATTCAGAATACTGAATAGATTGGGCAACAGGCATACAAGGCATATATATGCCCTCTCTATATAAAAGAAGTCATGTGAGCATTTTATATAAGAATTGGAACTCTTGGAATAATTCTTCGAGTTTTCTTGAATCGGAATTTTAAAAGAAATCCGCTTATATTCATCACTTATTTTTTGGAAATCTACCTCAAAAGTAGAATATATAATCTTGTCAGGCGATCTCAGACACAAATATTATATGACCTTTTTAAATGTTGATCAATATTGTTGAAATATTGAGACCTGATTAACATTAAAATCTGTCTCGGTCATTGTGTCATTGTTCCAAAGCTTGGACATTAATTTAATACAGTAGAAAGATTGATGAAATGCCATGTTAGTGTCATTTTGCACTGGTTTCTATTCATTGATACTTGAAGCACAGGGATCCTGGAAAGTTTTACTCAGATTAGAATGAAAAATCGACGAAATCGATATATTCTCTTTTTATATCGTCGTCAAAAGAAAAACTTCTTCGACCTTCTGTCGGTGCTTGTCGCTACCTGTTCGGAAATCGATTGATGTGGAAATACCCTTTTTTAAAGTTTAAGAGCTCTATTTCAAAACCGAGTTCAAAATTTGGAATACATGTATACGTAGACTCTATAATGTGCAAGATATAGTCTTGAATGAAAGAAATGTTTGAAGTTTTCAAAATATATGTAATTTACAAATGAACCATTCAGAAAACATCAAACAGGAAACTGTAAATTAACTAAGCTGACCTGGTTTTTCGTCGGCCTTTGGTTTGGCCGGTTCTTTATTGGTGGCTGCCTTTGGTTTGACCGGTTCCTTGCCGGTAGCTTTGGGTGCCGATGACTTGACTGCAGGCTTGGCCGCAGTGCCTCCTTTACTGACTGTTGTTTTTACCGTTTTACCTGGTACTTTAGGGGGCATTCTGTTCTGTCAGCTGATATATTCTGCAAGATGTCCGATTCCTTAGCTTTTAAATACCCAGGATTTGGTGTATGAATATCGGTTTGTCCAGGTATGAGTGACGATTAAATGTCCGAATTTCCAGTGACACACACTCGGGCTAAAATTGTTCTGTGATTAAGCGGAAAATATCAGATTGGTGTGCTGGGGACCTTACTGAATCCAATTTGTCCTTGAGTATTGACTTTATTGACTTTTTATCTCATTAATTGTTTAATTGGGAAACAGGCACACAATGACTTCTTTAGCACCAGCCTGATCAATTGTCTAATATCGGATATGATGCTGAAATATCAATATTTGGTTTAATTGATATAGGATAATATTCAATTCAATTCGTTTATTGACCAATTAAGGGCCCTCATGGGGCAAAAAGAAAGTACATTGTTAAAATGTATATAATGATTATGATCATACACACGAAATACAATATACATATACATAAGAGGGAAAGAATTGCTTGATTGATAGAAAAAACATACAAGTAGGGGAATAGGATAATATGAATGCGATTATCAATTTAACCATCGTCAGTATGGACGTGAAAGTTCCTGTTTGGTAAAACGAGAAAGCATATAATATGCAACTTTAACATACAAAGGCCCTAAAACCTCTTTTAAAATAGATCTGCTATCAAAAGTAGGTACTGTTATCAATATTCACCGGAAATAATATCTAAAGGAAGAAGATAAATTTGGATGATAACGTTAATAAATTGATAAAGTTACAGAACAAAAGTTAAAGAGTCAGAAAAGATACCCCCCCCCCAAAAAAAAAAACCACAAACACACCCTCACACACAGAAATTAAGATTTTGTTTAATTGATACATAGAAAAAAATTGATTCGTGACATGAATAACTATCGGACATTTGGATTGAAAATCTTGCTTAACTGCTGTCTTTCAAATGGTTAAAAGTTCAAGCCCGTAGGAATCTAGTTACAATAGGAACGAATGCGAATGGCAATTTACAGTTGCTCCCCTCAATAATCTTGGCAATATATAATGAATATTAAAGCAAAAGCTTTTACGGTTGTGCTCCTTCAAAAGAATGTTCTTAATTAGGACTCTTTCTTTTCTTTTTTTTTATTTTGCTTATCAATAGATTTTTGCTACTACCCCCCCCCCCCCCTCGAAAATTGCTCCGACGGGCTTGAGGTTATCAGCTTTCTATAATCTATAATTGCAAGAAGTTTTAAAATATAGACTTCTAATTTAGGTTGAACAAGCGGGTCACTGTTGATTGAATTATATATAACTATATAGGAGTTCAACCTGCAAATGTAGATCATTTAAATGTCACAGCGGGGATTCCTGATATGGAATGAGTGTTCTGTTTACAGAGGAACTGTCAAACCTGTCATAACTAGCAATTCTTTATATTTGAATAATGATTCACCAAAATGTCCATATTCCATACAACTATAAATATTTGAATATTTGAAATCGTTGTACGAAGTAAAACCAGAGTGAGAAAGGATAAGATGAGGTTTGGTGCCTCTAACCCAACATGATTTTTTTTTAATTTGCCTTACCTGTCAGATCAAACAATATTTAACACTTTTCAGTAGAGTAAATTAACAAGAGATACAAGCTTAAGATGGCTAGCCTGTTACTTCCACAATGTCAGGGTAACAGAAGATAGCATGAAAACGTAGTGATACGAACACATTCTTTGTACGATTTGATGATTTAAATTTTGACCAATGAAAATGCTAGATGCTTTTAGATCGCCAAGTGCGTTCCTGTGATGTTTACAAATGGTGGATATTGAAATGTAAAACTTCAAAACTTGTTTTTCAGGATGCCACCCAAAAAGCCCGTTGCAGTTAAGGCACCAGCAAAAGCTGCGGTAAAACCAGCAGCTGGTAGGGGAACAACGCCTGCAGCAAAGAAAGGAACAGTTGCGCAAGGTTTGTCATTCGTTTTCTGCAATAGAAAATATTAATTTGTTATAAATAATACAAACTGTGGGGAATTCGAGGATTTGGTCAAGTGACATATTTTAGTCGATTAATTAATACAAAATTCTAAACATAAAGCTTATTTTGTAGAAGTAAAATGACTGATGACGGTAATAAAAAAAAAAGTGTCTCCGGACAGGCCCTAAACATTATCATTGACTGTAATGATAAAATATTTTTAGAATAAAAGTCATGATTGCATTTACTCTCAAATCATTAGTTTTCGTCAAGAGCATTAGCAGTTACAAGCAATGATATATGTACATAATACAGTGCTTCAAGACTCAAGGAAGTGCTTAATGTCACACATATAATTTATAAACAACTATTTTCCTTAATTAAAATTATTTTTAACTTACATATCATTTAATGTTTGTTCAGAGAACCATCAGATGTTTTGCATTAATAAGCCTATTTGTTTACATTTTAAGGTGGTGCTAAGAAGGGAGCACCCCCTGCTGCTGGGAAAGGAAAACCTGCTGCGACCCCAGCAAAGCCAAAGGAAAAAGTATGGACAGAAAAAGATGATGCAGCATTGAAAATACAGACCAAATACAGGCAGTTCAGAGCAAAGAAAGCCTTGATTAAGAAAAAGAAAGAAAAAGAAGATTATGAGGAACTCATGGATAAACTGGAAAAAGAGGTTATTTTAAAAAGAACACAGAAATCTTTACATTTTTTATTACTCTTTTTTTTTTTTTTACAAGTTGGATGAGGGGGTACAAAGTCGCAGGCTTCTTGGAAATTGGTTGATTATGAGCTGGAACTGTGAGGCAACATTTAAATGCTTCATATTATTAGCTCTCACCTGAGCCTTCTTTTCTCATCAAAATCTGTCCTTTTTCTATTGTTGTTGTTGTCATTGTTGTCGTTCACTTTTTACAGTTTCACCTTCTTATCCAGAACCACTGGGCCAATTACAACCAAACTTGCCACAAAGTATCTTTTGCTAAAGGGGATTCAAGTTTGTTCAAATGAAGGGCCACATGTACCTTCTTCCAAGCAGAGATTATTACAAATTCATGAAAATTTAATGGCACCATTTAAAAATCTTCTTAGAAAAACCAGTGGGACAAAAAATATGAAATTTATGTGGAAGCATTATCAGGTAGTGTAGATTCAAATTTATTCAAATCATGACTCCAGGGGTAGGCGGAGCTGCAATGGGCAATCAAAGTTTTACAAAGGAATACATAGAAAAGAACTTCTTCTCAATAACAGCAAAAGCCATGATTGGTCATGGTCATATTTATATGGAAGCATCCTCAGGAAGTGTAGATTTAAGTTTGTTCAAATCATGATCCTGGGGGATAGTGTGGGGGCCACAATGGGCGATCAAAGTTTTACATAGGAATATATAGGAAAAATCTTTATAAGTTTTCTTCTTCTCAAGAATAGGAAAGCCATGATTGGTCATTTTTATATGGAAGCATCCCCGAGGATTTTAGATTCAAGTTTGTTCAAAACATGACCCCCAGGGGGTAGGGTTGGGCCACAATGGACGATCATAAGAATACATAGGAAAAATCTTTAAAAATTTTCTTCTCAAGAACAGAATAGCCATGGTTGGTCATATATTTATGGAAGCATCCTCAGGTAGTGTAGATTCAAGTTAATATGACCCCAAAAACAGCAAAGCCATGATTAGTCATATTAATACTGAAGCATCATCATGTAGTGTAGATTCAAGTTTGTTCAAATCTTGATCCCTGGGGACAGTGGGGGAAGGGTGAGGTCACAATTTGGGATCAAAGTTTTATGTAGGAATATATAGGAAAGATCATTAAAAATCCTTTTCTTGAGAACAACAAAGCTCAGATGGGGGATATAAAATAAAACTGATAGGAATATAATCTTTAAAAGTCTTCTAAAGCCATTAATAGTCAAAGAAATATTAAAGCATCCTCAGTTAGTGTAAATTTAAGTTTGTTCAAATCATGCCCCCCCCCCCCTTCCCTTGAATAGATTGGAACAACTTTTTTATTTAAACTTTTCAGTACTGATCTGATTCTGCATTTTCCTAGTCAAAGTGCTCAGGTGAGCAATGTGGTCCATTGACCTCTTGTTAATGTAAATTGTCTGAAACAATAAAAAAAAATTATGATAAGGTTCATCGTATTCTATTCAATTTCATAAGTATGAATTGGAACATATTTTATTGACAAAAACTCAAATAGATTAGATTCAAGTTCTAAAACTTAAGTAGTCTTCTCCTAATATAATACCATTCAGTTATACTGTAATGGTATAATAATAATATAAACAAACATTGGTTATTACAATATTGATTGATCTTTATCTTTATCAACCAATAATGTTTCTTGTTGGTTACTACTGGTCTGCCTTCCAGTTTGACATGAGTAACACTGCAGATCTTTTTAATTTGTAGGCTTTCGTTCAACTTGTCAAAATGGAACAAGAAAAGGCGGAGAAAGAAAGACAGAAAGAGGAGGAAGAAAGAAAAAGAAAGAGAGAGGAAGCCAAGAGAAAGAAAAGAATGCTTGAAGCTGCCTTTGAAGGGGATACTGAAGAAATAGAAAATATTCTCAAAGAGGTATCTATAAATATGCCATCAGCTATGTTCAGGTTTAATACTGGATTGTATATTTTTGCGATAATTTATGTGAATATTTTTACACTGTGTAAACAAATTATTGTACTCAAATTATTTCTCAAAATAGAATTTAAAATCAAACAGATTTTGATTGGCAGTGAAATATTTATAATTTATATTGTGTAGAAAAGCAAACCCCCAAAAGAAAGAGAAAAATATGCTTTAGTGTACCTGAAATTTTCTAACATAGTTTGAAATAGATTGACACTCTTTTAAATTGACAATCATTATTTACTCAACTCTTTTAAAAATTTTAAAAAATTAGTTAAATATATTTCTTTAAACATATAAAAGGATAAATTTATTCTATATTCTAAACCAGACCTATTACAAACATATGTTTTCAGGTCAAAAACCTTGATGATCAGAAGGGTGTGGGGACAGATGCTGTAGGGACTGCAATACGTAACAAGCACCTGATGAATGTCATAGAATGTGAAGATGCTAATGATAACACACCACTCTCAGAGGCAGCTAGTATGTTCAATTTACATTCTTATATACATGTTTTAGGCATTTTTTAAAATAAATATGTTTTCTTTTGAAATTCAGTGAACACGGTATGCAGTTGAAATCTGTAAACATATCATCTGATTATTGCTTTAATAAATATTGGATTTTTTCAGATGGGGGAGATCCCAAGACAATTCAACTGCTTTTAGACAAAGGTGCAAATCCAAATTCCCAGGGACAGTTCAAGAGAACCCCCCTCTACAGGGCAGCTTTTGCTGGTCATTTAGAATCTGTCCAGGTATACATTTTACCTTTTTACTTGAATATTAACTGCAATAACTTAGTGAAGATAAGAAATAGAACTGTGTGCAGATGTAAAATTTATTGAAAAATGATTTACCTTCATTTTCAGGTGTTGCTTCAGAATGGTGCTGATCCTCGCATTTACGCTGATGATGGTCAAAATCCAGAACAGGTAAGGTGTATCTTTAGATAATGATTTCCACTGATATAATTACTAGATAGATTCTTTGTGAAGATTTTTACACTTTTTAAGATATACTTTATTTAAATTGATTCTACTAATTCCTGTGTTGCTTCAGACAGTGGTATTTAAGACAGAAGACATTAGACAGAAGTATTTAGTTTGCTAAAATAATATTCATACTGTTGTATGTGGTCAATCCTAATTATAAAGAATCCTCAGTTACCAATCTCAAAGTCAAAGGTCAAACCAAGGTCAACTCATTGGCATTACTCTTGATTAACTTTGTGGGAAGTTTAACAATGATGAGCAGAATGGGTTTTCTGCAATACTGATCAAAATCTTTCTCGTTTTAAAATGTCATGGTCAAAGTTTAAGGCCATCCAGAATTTTAACAACTTATCTATTATTTAAGTGTCATCTATAACAGCACTTGATACATTTTTTGTGTAGGAAAATGAATAGCCAGATATGATCATTATTACATAAATCAGAATTTCCTTTGAATCCATCCAAAACACAGTAAAAGTTACTATTTTTCTTTTTTGTAGAAAAGTCTATAACCTTAAAAGAATCCTGTATGAAAAAGCTTTATTTATTTCAGAATACTTTGAATTAATGAAAATTTGTCTGCCACATTAAAATTAGAATTGGTTTAAAATTGTAGGTGGCCTCAGTGGCTGCTGTGAAGGAAGTCTTAGCAGAGTGGGATGTGGCTGAAACAGAAAAACTGCTACAAAAACTAGAGGCAGAAAAACAAAAGAGAAAAGAGGAGCAGCAAATGAGGAGAGACGCTGAGACTTCCAAGTATGTAGCAAAATATTCATTAAAGGTGGTGTCAATATGTTAAAAGATTTTTAGTAGATATGTATTCTATATATGTCTTCAATATTTCAAAAGGTTTCAGATAAACCTTTTTTCTCTGTTTTGTTTTATTTTATTATTACCAGTATTATTATTTCCTTTTAGATTTTCAGTATTTAAAGTTTTATTTTTAGCAACACCTAATCGTTAGATAAGTGCTGTAATGCATGTTACAACTTATGTTTTCTTTAATTAGGTTAAAAGGATCTGTACAGGAAGCCCAAGAGGAATATGACAGAGTCCAGAAACAGGTTTGAAAACAAATAGCCTACAGGGGCTATATTTGGCATTTATTTTGGGGGAATATTGAGAAGAATTTCACATGAAATCTTATTTCCTACTAATATGTGTATTTTTCCTTCTTCCTCTCTAGTTGAGCCATGCCTATTGTGAATTAAATAAAAGAATTAATGAACATGATACAGCCATTGTCTCAGGATTTGACAGACCTGAGCTCACTCTACAGGTATTGGACATGTTAGATTTTTTTTATGAATGAGTTTTTTTATGGTCTTTATAAGTAAAGATGCTTGCTGAGATCTAATTACTTTATTTATCAATTTGTGATATAAGTGTATATTTGATAAGAATGTCATGAAAATGAGAGTTCCCTTCTCTATTTATAAACATAATTTAGATTAATTACACTCTCACATTTTTTTCAGTTTGAGGTCATACATTTTCTTTCTCAGTAGCAATGCAACTGACCATGAAAAGTTTATATTTAGAGTTTATCAAAAAGAATACACAGTTGTATGATTTAAAATCATCTGATATATACTATAGCAGATATTAATATTTCTTCTAAGGTGACATATAAATAGGCCCAATGGGTTGCATGTTGTGTATTTTAATGATAAATGACTCTAATTACAATTGTTCATTTTGTTAAACGCATGTCCCTATAATAAACAAATACTACTACATGTACTAGTTCATCAAATACAAACTTAAATCCAAAAATGCTATAACTAAATAATGACATAATGTTTTCAGGGCATACATGATCAGGAGGATGAAGTTGAGATACTGAAGTCTAAATGTGAAAAGGCTAGAGAAGCCCTGGCCAATGCAAAACTTGAACTGCGTGAACAGATAAATGAAGGCTTAGGTATGAATAGATTATAATTAGAATTTCTGAAAGATGAATCTAAGACTTGTTTTTTAAATGTGCAAAATGGTGGAATAATTTTTCTTGAGCCTTTTCCATAAATTTATCTTCCAGAGAGCAGCGAAAGTCTTCCAGGTATTCAGATAATGATTAAAGAACTGGATGATGTGCTTCTCAAGGATGTTGGCAATAAAATAAAGGATTCTGGAAAGTATGTTGAATGTTTTTTTCTTTCCTCTTACAATATTTCTTCTACTTTTTGAGATCACCTTAGTTTGAATACGTTACTAAGAGTTATCCTTCTTGTTACAGATGGCCGCTGATTATTGACAGAAGCGCACAAGCAGCCACTTTTCTTAGGTACAGAGACACAAATTATCTCAACACATTGAATACCAAGGAAATGGAACCCAACAAAGTCAGGCTGTCACTTCTTGGTGCTATTAGGTACTGTCAAATACATTTATATAGGATGTACTTTAGAATTTCTGATTAAAACATGCCTCTTTTTATAAAATTGTCGTCATATTTCCCTTCATTATTTGAGATACATGTACTACCATTAGTTTTACGTAGAAAGTCTACAGATTGACTTTTTATTTTATCCTCAGATTTGGCAAACCACTAGTTATTGATATGATGGAGGTAGACATGTTCCATGCAGTCAGTGACAGATTTGATGAAATTCAAAAAGGTCTCATGGACAAAATTATGGACAAAAGCATCATGCAAGAGGAGAAGTAAGCCCTTTAGATCACTGTTGAACATTTAAAGTAAGTTATGTTGGGTTTTCTTAAGTTGCAAACTTATGGTATTAAAAAAAATGTCATTTTTTTGCAGTTACCTAAGTCTTGTGAAAGAAGGAGATGGCCCAGAATATGACAAGAACAAATTCACAGCATTTAGGACTCAAAACTTTAAATTATGGATTGTCACAAAGAACCCCTATCCTCCTGAGTATTTAATAGATAGCTGTTATGCAATAAGAATATTTGTTCCAACATAGTACAGTCCACTCAGTGAAGATTTACCTTTTACTGGATGTAGAGCTTCCATTGTCATATGTTGTAGACATACACTCTATCATTATATGGTTCTAGTGTGATTGGTTTTCTGTGATCATTTATTTCTTGTGATTGACTTAATCCCTGAAGCTGTTGGACAATCCATATTCATTCCTAGTCATGATTTAACTGTCTATATTTGTACTGAATTTTAATTTTTCATATTTTTTTGTATTTTCTGTAATAATAATTGACATTGCAAATCAAAAATAATGTTGAACACTGATGGTCACTGCAGATTAACTGGCAATGTTATAATGTAAAGTGTGTAAGAACGAAATAAAATGTAATAAACTGTGATATGACATTTGGAGATCAAAGCAAAATGTAACAAAATTCAATTTTTAGTCAGGTATTGAGTTTCCATCGATTGAGTCTTTTTAACTTATATCATAGTGATTAACATGTGCCAATAAACACTGATTATTACATGTACATCTCAGTTATCCTTGATGCAAAATGTAATAGCGTAAAATGTAATTATTTTTGTTTATCTAAAGGTCTTTTGGAACTGGAATGTGGTAAATACAAATGCTTTAAATTAATAAACCTTTTTCAATATTTGCTCCCCTCTCATATATTTTACGATACGTTTTGCGTTGATTTGATGCAAAATGTAGTAATTGCAAAGCGCCATGATCCTTGTTAATTCCCAAAACAATGTCGACTAGGATATATTTAAATTTTGGAAGTTTTCTTGTTATGAATCACTGGATATTTCTTACTATTATACCTCAAAAGTTTCTTTTTTATATAAATCAAAAATTAAACAAATTATTTCTGGTCTAGAGCTCTGTTAAAAAGTTGAAATTACGTTTTATTTTAGAATTGCGCATTGGGTAATACTTCAGTAATTGTTACGTGACTTCTTTAATTGAAGTATTTACATATGTTTTGAACTCAAAATGTAAAAATTTTAAAAGAAAGTGTTTATTTACTCTAAGGTATTTCACTAAGATTTTTGACATGTCAGGGAAAATGACATAAATAAATCAGTCAATAAATATTTGTTCGAAAAGTTGGTTTGTTACATTTTGCGTTGATCTTGACGAAAATGCACACAATTGTGCAACCTTTAGTTATCCTAGTTTATTACATTTAGTTTTATCACATTTAGTGATGTTGCAAGGCAAATTGCGTTTTATATTATAGCTCTTTTGACGTTTAGAAAAGTGACATATAGAAAGCATTAAAGAAAAAAGTTTTCATTAAGATTTTTAATTTCGTTCAAAACTGACGTCAATCTAAACATCTCAGAAAACATGAAAATGGAGAAAAATACTAAAAGTAAACTACTAGTATGTGATTAATAAAAGGCGCCTTACATTTCCCGATCTATAATGAAATCGCTTTCCTTCATTAGCATTACAAACAATTTTAAACTTTTGTTTGCAGTTTTCAATTCATATTCTATGCTGTACAGAACTCTACCACTCCGGGTGAAATTTCTGAAGTTGTACTTGAAAATGTACTTTGAGATAGAAGCTTTTTAGACTAACACTGCAAAAACTTTGTGTTTACAGTCTATACTTCAGTCTTCTGAATGTGTCTGGAAACTATATTATTCTTATCAATCGACTAAATTGACTGATTGGGTTTAATTTGTTGAACGCCAGTTGGTGTTTGCATGTACCAAGTACACTTGTCTTTTATTCAATTTCAATGAAGATGTATAAAACAATTTTATTATGACAACCATATAAATACAAAACATACAAAACCTAAAAATAAATATTTACAATGGAAAACTGGTTTTGTAAATCCTTAGTGGATAATCAAAATACTTTCATGTCAAAGATAGTCTCTGTCGAAAGTTTTGCCTGCATCATCAATATGCGGAAATTATCACATGACTTGATCCAGCCAATAAGCTACTTTTGCTTTCTTTCAGCAGTTGTCTCTCTTAGTTGTGTTCATTTGAACACTGGAGCACTGTGCTCGAAGCATTTTCGGAAGATTCCATGTTGTCAATGATGGACGTGGTAAAATCAGAACCTGCGTAATATATAATAATAATAGGGACATCACTTGTCCTGTTTGTACAATCCCTGCACTACAGAAAGCTATTAACATGAAAATATACAACGTCCCTTCGGCAAAACTGCTTCCAAGCTTCTTTGTATATCCGCAATTTCTTTTTACGAATACTAAGTCTAGACTTTTTATGCTTTTTAAACTTTTTTCGCTTTTTCCTTCTATCTTTGGGTCGTCGTCTCCTTTTCTTGTTTCTCTTCCTATGCCTCCTGCGTTTCTTTTTTCGTCTCTTTTTCTTGCGTTTTTGCAGACGATTTTTCTTTTTCTCGGGGATGAGATCAGAATTATTGTAAGTTAGATCTGGAAGTATAGACAGGAAGTGGGTGAGGGACTGACAGCTCATTCGCTGAACTGGAGAGAATTACACACGGAGAAACACATGCGGCAGGCAGGAAGGGGAGACTACTGGGCTACTACTTGTCTAATCTCTCACTATTTAAAAGGAGAATCAGGGATCACTACAGAGAGCACTGAAGCAGCGCCTTAAGTCAGACTATCGTGTCTACATCTAGTCTACTTTGATAGTTTAACATCAAGGTCAGAGTGATACAGTGTTGCATGCAAGTTTAAACGATCACAATAAGTACACACACACAAAACTTGATACCAATTTGACGCCAATTTTAAGGGGAAAAAAAGAGATTTACATATTTTACCCAAATTATTTGTAAATCCATTATTAAGTTTAAAAAGTTTGAAGTCCAAAATTTATATTAAAAAAAAAAAAAAAAAAAAAAAAATTATGGATCTTACAATAAAGAAAATTCATGACGTCAAAGTTTCTTGCGGGTACTTTAATTATAAACTCTTGCTATTTTGCTTTCTTTGTTTGAAATGGGTTATAGAGCTCTACAAATTATCAAAATTTTAATTTGTAACTACTATGTACCTTTATACATGTATGTATATTTTTTGCAGAACAATATCCAAATAGATGCACAGTGTATCATAAAAATAAGACGAAAATTCTATTCTTTGATAGACCGATTGATATTCAAGACAGGCATGTGGAATTCATCTATGAAAGATGTTTAAATTATTCCATACCACGGTATAACATAACAAGGCGAAATGCAAAGCGTGTGCAACATCTGAAACATGCATCAAGTCAAGGATTAATGGCCAATTGGTAAGTAATTGTTCGATCAGAGCGTTCTAAGGTTCGTTAATCCGTATCTCATTTTTATCAGATGAAGGATTTATAAAACACAAGAGCAGCATCAGAATTTATTTGAAGTTGTGCATACACACTCAGAGCTCAAATGACGAAACTGTGCAGCCCCTAGAGAGTTATCTTTTAGAATTTGTAATAAATTTACTGTAATTACTCTGAAAATTGAGAAAAACTATAACACTGAATGAAATTAGTTACTCATTGATGGAAGATACAAAGCAAAAATGTGTGGCGGATGTTAATCTGAAACACGTTGATTTCCGTCGTAAAACTAGATCAAATAATTTACTAATCATTTAAGCCTAAAAATACGTTTAACACAAATTACAGATTAATTTTGCAACATGCATAGAATCTATGGAATGTTACATCTACTTAATGTGACCAATATTTATGGCGCGATTCTGAAGATGATCAGAGTTTTTAATGACGCCTTATCTTCTTGATTGAACAACTTTCAATTTTAACCCCCACCATCCCCTCCCACCACCCACCTCAAGGCTAAAAATGTATTTTCATTTGTAAAACTTATCATTACCTATGCAAAATTTGAGATAAGGACAATATCATGATATGTTTACATGACTTGAAAAGTGACCAGACGGTGATAGATACAAGCCAAAGATTGGGATCATATTCAGTTACCATGCGATAGAGACTGGTATATTTGGGGAAAAAATAATGTGGATGGGCCACAATGCTCACATGAGGCACGCTGCCCTTTTCTCAGACAAATATCTTAAGTTGTGAATCGATTGGCCAAATGTTATGTCAAAGTCAATGGAGTTAACCTTTTTTAAGCTTTAAAGTAAAAAAACACAATAATTCTTATTCATGCAGCGGGTTTAAGATTCATTCTTGAAAAGAGTCTTTAAATATTCTTTTTATGATATTCTAATATAAAATGTTGACCCCATTTGAATAAAGGAGACCACAAACTAATTGAAATCTTGATTCGCAGTTTTTGAGATGGATTTTCTGTGACTTCACAATAATTTTACCTGTATTTTGAACAGTTCCCCGTGAAAATTAAGATGACCCTTCATTTGAACACGTTTTAAATTTCTTCTACCCAAGGGTACTTAGTGACAAGCTGGTTAAAATTACCTTTGTGGTCTTGAAGAGTAATGTTAACATACAGACCGACTGTCAGAAAGAATGACAAATAAACTTTGATCAGAAAAGTTCTTTTGGATCCCTGCCTCAGGTGAGCTACAAAGTCAATTGGTCTTAAGCATGACAGAGATCAAACCAAAAAAAAAAAATCATAAAAAGTATGCAGAAAATGTTACAAGCGTTTGTAATTTTTTTTTTTTCAAAAGATTCTCTGACCTTTTTAAATAAACAGAAATTTTAATTCAATTTTGAAACTTTTTTACTTGGACTAAATAATTAGTTTTCTTTATACTTGGACTAAATAATATACTAAATATTCAGTAAAAAAATCTTTAAGTAATTAATTATTTTTATTTTAAAAAATCAAGACCTGTGAAAAAGTAAATAGTGTACTTGTTTACTCCGAAAGATTAAGAAGAAAAATGAAAAAAAAACTTATGTAAAAATGTAGACCCCTATAAGTGCACCACAACCACCTCTGCATGCTTGTATTTACTCAGTTCAGTGAATGTATTTATTCAGTGAATGTAAGTTCACATTTATATGCATATACAAAGATAATTGACGTCAGAATATGATTTCTAATTTGTAATTTGAGCTTTAAATGATGTGAGTAGATTTATAGAGACAGCATTTAGACTTCATCATGGACTAACCAAAAAGGAATGGTGACATCTACCACACTGCCTGACTTGGGTCTTTTTCTGATTTAATTCTTCGTAATAAATACAATTTAATTTTTCTTAATAAATGCATACAATGTTTGTTTTGCAACATGTTTATTCGATTTTTTATCTGAACAGTATTTTTGATGTTTTTTTCTTCTTTCTTTCTTTTTTATCTATATAAATATTTAGCAAAAACAAATAATTCCTTTTTTCAGAAAATTCAACACAGTGTTCGCTGTTATATTTATAAAATTTATTTCAAGATAAATTGTTTACTTCACATATGAATCACTACAGCTTTTTCGCAGCATTTTATTTCTCTAAGAAATTTTCAGAAAAAATACTTGGAATTCAGTTCCCAAATTTCTGTAACTCTTACACGTATAAAATACTATCGGTGTTAATAATCGATATTTTTTTTTAAAATAGATATTTATCTTTATAATAATTCTTAAAAAAAGACAGATTGAAAAAAAAACTATAATGATATTTTATTTACTACTTTTTACTTACCGACGCATCGTCTCATATCCATGAGACAACATCGACTTTCTATGAGATTCGGACATCTGGCCCCATTTGGGGAGGGGCTCTCCAATACTTCGCGAGTCCGAGTAATCATGCCATACCGGTACCCGCAATTCTGACCATTTCTTGTACATGGGCTCCATAGCGCCCAGGGACCAGTCATGCAATCGACTGAAATATACAGACAATTAAGGTATATTCGGACAAGCATAATCATTACATGTATACAATACTATCTCGAAACATTCTTATACATTTTTCTAAATAATTAAGGAAATCTGTTGATTTTTTTTTTATATGTATATTATTTAG